AGAAAGAAAGAAAGAAAGAAAGAAAGAAAGAAAGAAAGAAAGAAAGAGAGAGAGAGAAAGAAAGAAAGGGAAGGAAAGTAGGAAGGAGGGAGGGAGAGAAGGAAGGAAGAAAGGAAGGAAGGAAGATAGATAAATAGATAGATCTAGTCTCTTGAGTCTTACAGAGAAGAAAGCACAGTATATATTTGAATTTAGAGGCACAGCAAAGCTTTTCAAACTAAATATCTTCTCTATAGCAAAGGACATCATTATTTGAATGTAGAGGTAACATACAGAATAGGAAAAAAAGTCTAACAGCTATGCTAATAACAGTATCTACACTATCCAAGGAACTGAAACAATAAACATAAAGATAAAATAACTCAATCCTAAAATGTGGCATGGAACAAAATACGGAGCTTGCAGAAGATGAAATACAAATAGCTGGTAATGGTGTGTGATGAACCAGGCTTTGATTCTTGTTTTCAATTATGATTAAACTTTAGAGTCACCAGAGGGAGCTCTTATCCTTATCTGTCGGGGAAATATAAATAAAAAGTACTTTGAGATATCATCTTACCATGGATGGAATGGCTGCGATTTAAACACAGTAATGATGAAAAATGCTGGGGGAAAAAAACCATTTCTTTATTGCACTAGTGAAAGTGCAAACTGCTGCAGCCATTATATCAGTATGGAGATTCTTCAAAGAGCTGAAAAACATCTACCACAAAACCTTGTATATATTGATAGCATACAACATGGTGTTTTGAATGTTTACATTTTATTGTTTCTAAATTCAATATATATGTTTGTATATATAAGTGTATACACTCAAAGTCTATTCTAGTTATTTTAAAAAATAGTATACACTTTTACTAAGTATACTCAATATTTAGCACAACAGATTTTTTGAATGTATTTTTTCTACATGATTGAAAATGTACATCCTTTGACTAGCTCTAGAGGGTATTATTATTGATGATAACAATAATTTTGCCATGAACATTTAGTGACTTCATGGGGTTACAAATATGGAAAATCCAAAACAGTAAAATTGTTCAGCACCCTATATGTCAATAGTGCTTTAATGAAAAACAACAATGCTTTAAATTGTTTTAGGACATAGAAAAAGACATGTAGAAAGACCTAACAGGTACCCACATTAACATAGTCAGATGTGAACATAAATATGTCTCTGGACAATGAGACTGGTGTTCTCCCCATGAGTAGAAATGCATTATATTGGATAAGTTCAGTCTACAGTCTTATTTTGGGTGGTAAATGACAGTGTATGTGTCCTGATTGTATTGTTTATGATTTCTCTCTTTTTCTCCAATGGTTGACCATTATAGCTGAGTTTGGTGATTATTATCCTGATGAACATCCTGAGAATTATATCAGTGAGTTTGAGATTTTCCCCAAGCAGTCACAGAAGTTGGAAAGAAAAATCATGGAAATTCATAACAATGAACTCAGGTAATATGTGTGAAAGTGTAGAGATGATAAAACATTCTGACTATATAGAAAGTGAGACTCATGTGAAGCCATATGATTTGAAATATGAGTATGCAGCCTCGGGTTGCAGAGAAATGTTTCTGGGTCCTGCAAAGTACTACTTCGCATCTCAATTAGTGTAAGACTTTTACAAGACAATGCCTATGAGAAGTGAAGTGAGAAGTTAGAAAAGGTATTTATTTTCTCATACAAATATATTTCCTCAAAAGACGTACATATCTCACTTCTATGGATTACTTTTAGAGAATTTTTTGTTAAAGAAAATGTGTTGAAAATAAATACAGAATATTCATTATTCTTTCTATATTTTGAAAATAAATATACTATTTACAATGACTTATAGTATTCCAGCTGATACAACCATGGTATGGAAATTACTATTCTTAGGAACCAAATGGTAAGAGTTATTAATAAGTGAACTGCATTTATTGTATGGAGTGGTAAAAACGGTGGAACTTCTGTGGCTAGACATTGTAGGGCTTTCAATTCTTGGTGAACATTATAGTGACAAAGATTTCTGAGCATTTCCAAGTTGCCAAAATATAAAGCAAACAGGTTTCTGAAAGCTGTTCTGCCCTATCCTTCCACATTGTAGGAGACAGGTACCCTTTGTGTTCCTGTGAGCACAAAGAAGGTGTTCTTGAAGAGGATAAAGAATGTTTCCTATGAGTTAACATTGATGTCAGAACATGATCCATTAATTACCCGACACTAATGCCCACACATTCCTCCAATGTTTGGCAGTTCTAGGAAGCAAGTAGTCATTCAGGTGTTACAGCAGCAATGAGCCCTATGAAAGAGTCAGGACAAAAAGGCCACAGATGCCAGTTATAGTTGTTTAAATGGAAATGTCCTATTAGGCTTATATATTTGAAGACATAGGTCCCAGGTGTTGGCACTGTTTGGGACTGTTTAAGTGGTATAGCCTCATTACAGAAACTATCTAACTGGGCTTTGACTTTGAGAATTTAGAAAATTGGTGTTGTTTCCAGTGTTTTACTCTTTCTTTCGCTGCTTCTTGTTTGGAAGACAGACATGATTCCAATTGCTATGTCTGCTGTCTACCACAGTTCCCCAATATGACGGTGGTGAACCCTTATTCCTCTGGAAACATCAGCCCAAATAAACCATTCCTTCTATAAGTTGCCTCAGTCAAAATGTTTTACCACAGCAGGAGAAAGATAACTAATACAGCATCCTAAAATGCTATACCCAGAAAAACTGCAAGAATTGAAGGAGAAAGAAAAAAATTTTATGATATGAATGGAATCAAAGAATTCATGTCAAACAAATCAGTCCTATAGGGAATATTGGAAATAATACTTCAGACTGAAGCCAAGAAACAAAGCATTAGCAAGAGACTAAGAAAGAAAACAAATGAAACTGTAATTATAGAAACACAAAACAGAACTAAGAATTCAAGCATCAGAAAAAGTGATGGCAGTCAACACATATTTTTCAATAATAATTTTAAATTCTATTAGTCACAGCTTTCTAATTAAAAGACTCAGGTTAGTTGTATGTACTACTAAATAAAATTCAAATTCATCTTAAAGTGAAAAGATGGGAAAGAGATTCAAAGAAAATAAGACCAGAAAACAAGCAAGTATGAATATACAAATATTTTTAAAAAATGACTCCATCTGATAGGTGCTATAAAGTTGGAAATCAGAAAAATGGGGACCTTATCTGAGAAGAGCTTAGAAAGGACAATGCAAAGAGAGAGGTAAAGAGAAAGTACACATAACACTAAAGGTGTTTGGAAAAGTGTTAGGACATAATTTTATATTTACCTAAAATTACATATTCTATAAATGTACCCATAGATAGATAGATGGTAGATACATGGTGAGGGACAACTGTCTATATTCTGCCAATTATATTTTAAATAAACACTGACTGGTCAGTAGCCAGGCAGGAAGTATAGGCAGGACAACCAGACAGAAAGTCGAGGTGGGTCAAGGAGAACAGGAGAATTCTGGGAAGAGGAAAGCTTAGTCTGCAGTCCTGGCCCAGCTACAGAAGAAGCAAGATGTGACTGCAATGCCGAATAAGGTACTGAGCCATGTGGCTAACAGAGATAAGAATAATGGGCTAATATAAGTTATAAGAGTTAATAAGAAGCCTGAGCTAATGGGCCAATCAGTTTATCATTAATGTAGAAATCTGTGTGATTTTCTTGGGACTAAACGGCTGGAGGACCCGGCAGGACAAAAACCTCAGACAACAGATACAGAGATAGATAATATATGATAGATAGATAGATAGATAGATAGATAGATAGATAGATAGATAGATAGATGGATAGATAGAGATAGAGAGACAGACAGATATTGTTTAAATGAAATTATGCCATTGAAATGATATTACTCCCCACAAAACCTGTAGACTATTTAACAAAAAACATTATAAGTCATGAGAAACCTCTTATTTAGTTATCGGTCGGGATAGTCTAAAAAAAAATATAAACCATTTTATTTGCCCTTGATTGCCTCGAGAATTTTGAAAGTAAAATCACTAGTGCTGAAGAAACCATATACTTTGAACATAGGAACTGGAACATCAAGATGCAAGTGCCCTGTCTGAAGACTAGCTTTTATAGAATTAAAAAAAAAAGTGTTATGCAAGGAGCTGTTAAGGGAGAAAATAAATCAATAGTCTTACCCAGCTGCAATGCCTATGAACACAACAACGACTGGCATGGAAGATATACTCAGAGGTACAATAGTCACAACTAACAATTGTCTGATTGGACTTTAGTCCAGTTCAATAGCAGGGAGTTCATGGGCAATATAAACCTTACCCACGACTGGTGAAACCATGGATGCTAGAGAAGAACTTACACTGCCATTTTCCTGAATCAGTATAATTTTTAACAGCATGGGAAGTACTTATCCTTATAACCATACATGAGTGTAGCTCTCATCCTTCAACAAAGAAGATTCTTCTGCAACAAATGAAACCATTACAGAAAGGCATATTTGTCAAATGCAGAGAACAACTGACCCTGGTATACCCCGGCTCAATTGATTCATATAGAACACAGCCCCTAAGCATTTGGGTGAAAGAATATCACAGTAAGTGTGCAAAGAAAAAAATTGAAGGAGCCAGAAGACCAGGACATTTACTGCAAGGTTATGTCACTTATATAGGACAGAAAAGCTGCACTCGTGAAGTCAAACAACACAGTAGCCTTAACAATACCCAAACAATAGCAGCTCTATTCGACATCCAGTGTAGGTGATGTGCTGGTTAGTTGTTGTCTTCTTTACTCAAGCTAGAGTCACTGGAGAGGAGGAAGATTCAAATGAGAAAATGCTCAATAAGACTGGGCAGGCCTGTCAGGCATTTTTATAGGTAGTGACTGATATGTGGAAGGGCCCAGCCCATTGTGTGTTTGTTCACCCCTGGACAGGTGGTTCTGGATTCTATAAGAAAGCAGGCTAAGCATGGCAGGAAGCAAGCCAGTGAGCAGCACCCTTCCATGGCCTCCAAATCATCAGCTCCTGCCTTCAGGTTCCTGCCCTGTTTGAGATCCTGGCTTCCTTCATTGATGAACTATAATGTGGAAATATAAGCCACATAAACCCTTTCATCCCCAACCTGCTTCTGTGTATGATGTTTCATCACAGCAATAGGAAACCAAACTAAGATTGGTATGAAAATTTCACAAGGCCCCACCACAAGATGAAAAGCTACAGGCAATTAATGCCTGCTAAGAAAGAAAGAATCAGTCTTTAACACGGGTAAGGCCTCTAATTGGTTATCCAATACCATGTGGTCAGTCCTAAAAACAGTAAACATATAAGCAATATTACATGGACTCAGCAGCTTATAGTTTTAAATGTATAGGCCTATATACACGTAACAAAAAAAAGAATAAAAGAAAAAGAAAAGAAAAAAGTCAAGCAGTAGTGGATCACACCTTTACTCCCAGCACTGCGGAGGCAGAGGCAAGCAGATCTCTGTGTGTTCCAGTCCAATCTGGTCTACAGAATGAGTTCCAGGTAGGCCTGGGCTACACAGCTAAACCCTGTATCAAAAAAATAAATAACAAAAGAAAAAAGTAATTAAGAGACATAAATTTGTCAATCAGAAATGATAAAGTAGTTATCATTTATAATAATATCATTATTATTCATAAATAATAATAATGTCATTATTATTTATAAAGTAATGTTCCCTTCATTATAATCAAGGGAATAATTAATCAAATTAATCAAGAGGACATTGCCACCCTAACATATATGTAACAACCTAGTGTGCAAGAGAAAGCATTCAACTGAAATTAAAGGCACCCATTAACTACAGTTCAGTAATAGTGGGTGACTTTAGTATTCCATTCTCTCCAAAAGACAAGAGATCTAGAAAAAATTTAAAAGAAACATCAAATTAAATGGCATCATATATCAAATGGACCTAAGCAATATCTACAGAACTTGTTCTCAAATACCAAAGAGCATGGAGTCTACTCAGTAGTTCACAGAAGATCCTCTATAGTTGACCACATATTAGGATGAAATACAAATCTTTTTTTACATGCAATAAAATGTTCTTTTCAACAATAACTAAAATAGTCATCTGTAGCCTTTCTATATACTGACAACAAATACAATGAGAAGGAGTTCATAGACAGACTCACAATCCCAATTGATCAAACAAAATAAAATATCTAAGAAAAAACCTCACCAAGTTGGTAAAAGACCTCTATAATTAAAATTTGAATCTCTGAAAAAAAAAACGTGTTTGGGGAAGACATTAGAATTTATTCAGACAGCCCATGCTCATGGGTTGGTAGAATTAATACTGTGAAAATGATCATTCTACCAATAATTAACAGATCAAATGCAATTCCAATCAAAATTGCACTTAATATTCTTTGCAGAAATAGGAAAAGAGTCCTAAAATTCATATGAAGCAATCAATGACCCTGGAGAAGCTAAACAATCCTGAGGGAAAAG